ACTTTAAATTCAGTTTCAAATCATTAAATTCAGTTTCAATTTAGTAAAATTAATTTTCAAACCAATGCATTCAATTTCAAACTATACACATAAAAATTCAATTTGAGCAATTCAAATTTATTTCCTGCTGTCACAAGATTTATCCCATAGACTTATTTCTTAGATATTAAGTATAGCTTCTGTGAAAGAAAAATGTAATTGACTCAAAATAACCTTTACAGGAGCGGAACAAAACAAACTTAAATCAAAATTTATTTTATTTAGCAGTGATGAAATAAGTTGACCTTATAATTTTTTTTAACACCGTAGACTACTTTATTGGTAACCAATAACAGGTTGCGTAGAAGTTGGTTTTATGTAATAATCTAATTTTCTGAGAAACTGTTGTAGTATCTAGAATACATTGATATAAAACTGTGATAAGGCTTAAGTGGAAGCATGTTTCTTCTCATTCCAGCTGCAATGCTCATGGTCAGCTTCAGTGCAATAGAAGAGGTTCATTTAAAATGTTTCTTTTCCTATGTAGAATTCAATATCTCAGCAGTTCACCTTATTAGAAATGGTGTGACACGAGAAACTCATAATTGAATTTATTCTCTGTTATTTTGAATAATCTTCCACTATTCAAGTAGCTCACACCTGCTGAGTCCTTTCTCTTTATCAAACCAGCAGCAGATTGCTAGCCTGGCCCTTGTCTTCCTATGCGGTGGCGGCTGGTCAATAGGGGGAGCATGTTCGCCTCCCCCCTCTATTTTTGGTACACAAAAATTAAATAAAAGAAAATAACAAAAGAAAATAATACAAAAGGTCCAACAAACTATTGTATATATGTTTTATATAAAGCAAAAATAAATAATTTATAATTATTGATGTGTAAACTTCCATTTTACTCATGAGCGTTTTCATGCGAGTCACTTCCGGTTCACGTTGTGTTCACCGCCCCAGTTTCCTATAGATGACTCGTGAAGATTTTAGTCATGCGCAGTAAGTCCTCAATGCAAAAGAAAAGGGTGGCCTGTGTTCGCAGCTGACCTGTGAACACACACCGGTAGTGGGAGGGTCCACCTGTGTCGACAACTCAACGTCATAAGGCGGCAGCCGGCAGGGCAATACGAGGTGGATTTTGGAGACCAACAAATGAGAAATGAAGGAGAAGACAACACTGTAAGTCCCTTTTATCTAAACCTTTTCAAAGCAGAACATATGAGGAGAAACTTAAAGTGAAGTAGCTTGGACCTGATAAGCCCAACATAAAAAAATTGAGCAAAAACGTGGTGTAGTTAGATTGTGTTAGTGTTCCCTTTATATTTGAGCAGCATATAATGTAATGGTGAACATAACTTAATATAATATAAAGATATTTTTTATTTTTTCTGTTTAGTTTTTTTTAATAAATTAGTATTGTTTGAATTTATTCTTAGAAGGGGGCAAGATATTGGAAGATATTTTTCTTCTTTCTGATGCCTTTCATTTTATTTATATTTTTTCTTCTGTTGTGCATAGTTTTTGTTTTTTAATAAAATGAATATATTTTTAAAATAAAAATATAATTAATTAGTTTACCTTAGAGGTGCAACAATTTGTTGCTATTAAAATAACATTAATTGTTCTCTAGATTAGAAAGCTCACTTGTAGCCAATCTCCACATTGAATTAAATTTGTGCATTTATTGTTTTAGGTTTGTGACATCTTGAGCCATTCACAAGCATTTGATCAGAACTACACTGCTGCAGACAGGTTCCTGCAGGACAGTTCTCTGAAGCAGCTCTGAAGACCATGGAGGCTCACCCAATGCTGAACAGGATGAAGAAGTCTGATGTAGCTCAGGAGCTGCAGTGACTTAGAAAACTAAGGATACAGGAGGGCTAGAGCTTCCTAACTTTTACCAATACTTTTTAGCCAACCGGCTACAATACATCTTAAAGTGGTTAAATCCTAATCCGTTAGATGAATCTTGGCTAGATATACGTAGAACAAACTTTATGCCATGACATTAAGATTTCAGATCTTCATTTATTAGCACTAATATAAAAAAACATGAGTGCTTTAAAAGCATCAATATCAGCTCATCTCTGGCAGCATGGTGGGAGTTTCTTAAAATGACAAAGTCTTCACTAATCCCTTGCAGACAAACACCCATCTGGAACAATCCTGACATACTACAACAGAATAATATGTTAAACTTTTCAGGTTGGAAGAGTAAAGGAATTGATCGTTTGGAACATATATATGAAGGTGAAGACTTTATTCCATTTAACAAATTAATGATACAACGTGGCATCGATAAGAAGTATTTCTTAGAATATGAACAAATTAAGTCTATAGTAAAAAAGAAATTTAAGCTTAATAAAACACTGTTAGAAACATTAGTAAGCGTATTGGAGTTCCTTCACCTTAGATCACCTACATTGCTTTCCAAAATATATAAGAAATTGTCTAGAATAGGTGATTCAATATCATTGCCAATTGTAAAATGGGAAACGGATTTATCTGTCAGCTTTAAAACATCTGGTCCCAATTATGCTTAAAACATTTAAAATGACTAGAAATCCTAWTTTACAACTAATACAATATAAAATCCTTCATAGAGTACATTATACAGGTCAGCGAATGTTCAAGATGGGATTTGCGTCATCTAATACCTGCTCACAGTGCACAGACAACACACCTGACAATTATATCCATGCATTCTGGTTCTGTCCACCTGTTCAGAGGTTCTGGGCCAGACTAGTGAAGACTTGTCTAAATGTCTGAAATGTAATATCACACTATCTCCGTCTGTTTGCTTATTGGCTATCTTAGATGATGTTACTTTAGAGAAAAACACATCTCACATCATCTTCACTGCCCCATGTATCGCAAAGAAAACGGTACTTTTGAATTGGACAAATAAAAATGCCCTTAGTGTCAATCAGTATAGGAATCTCTTATTAGATCACATGAGTCTTGAGACAGCATCTGCGGATACATCAGATAAATCTATCTGGGCTCCTTTAATCGGCTTCATCACATAGTTTGGGTGGGGGTCCTTGGATCGGGCCTTGTGGCGCTTTGGGGCTAATGTTGGGGGGGTTTTGGGGGTTGAGGC